AACGATTCAGAGCAGCGAGCCGACCTGTGAGTCCTTGTACCCCTTTAACTGAAGTCGGCAGCTTCAAATCCAGAACAGCCTTAATCTTCTGGGGATTTGCGTCTATTCCTCTTTGACTGACTACGTAACCTAAAAATTTCCCCGACTTTACCCCGAACGTACATTTTTTAGGATTTAACACCATGGAATAATCACGCAAAATCCCAAACATTTCATTTAAATGAGTTACATGATCATCAGCATTTACCGACTTTACAAGCATATCATCTACATAAACTTCCATGGTACGTCCCATCAACCTAGAGAACATCTTGTTGACCAACCTTTGGTAAGTGGCCCCGGCATTCTTCAATCCAAATGGCATCATGGTATAGCAGTATAGGCCCCTTGCTGAATAGAATGAAGTGTGTTCAGCTTCTTCGGGATCCATTGGGATTTGATTGTATCCTGAATAGGCATCCATGAAGCTCATCAACTCATGACCTGAGGTAGCATCCACCATATAGTCGATATGAGGTAATGGATAACTGTCTTTTGGACAAGCAGTGTTGAGGTCGGAGAAGTCAATGCAAAGACGCCATGTCCCATTACTTTTCTTCACCAAGACGGGATTGGACACCCAAGTCGGGTATTTGGCTTCTTTGATGAACTTGTTATCAATGAGCTTGTTGACTTCTTCCTCCAAGGCTTGTTGTCGGTCTGGACCGAGTTTCCTTCTTTTCTGGATGACGGGTTTGATAGTGTGATTGATGTTGAGTCGATGACAGGCTACCTTCGGGTCTATTCCTTTCATATCTTCGTGCCTCCAAGCAAAGACGTCGGCATTGGACTTTAGAAACGAGATGAGTTTGGTTCGAATAGGTTCTTGGAGGTTGGCCCCAATACGCAGTGGCTTGTCGCAGATGGGTTCATCAACATAAATGACTTCTATCTCTTCATATGGTTCGGCTCTTTTTTCTTGCTTCTTCTCTTTAAATTGACTTCGTGGGTCTAACTCATCTTCTTCCACGACTGGTTCTTTTCCAGGTCTTCTCCCTCTATCTCGGGTAAGGTCTTCCTCACTGGGATTTAAAGTCGGAATTGCTGACGTCGGCTGAACTTCTGACATATTTGTGATAATTTCGGATGGGTCTGAAGTTGGAAACGCCGATGTCGGCTGGGCTTCCGACAGAGTCGCGGCAACTCTAAGATTGACATCTTGAATGTCTTCGGGAATCAAACTTCGTGGAACTCGGGTACAATCGATCATTCTTTCATTTTCATCAACGTGCATCTCCAAGTTATGGATTTCTCGAGAAGGGATGGCTAAGATTAGCTCACGAGCTCCCAACTGATCGCCATAATGGGTCCCCTCACCATCATCGGTCGGAAACTTGATTGCATAATGGAAAATGGACACTGCTGCTCGCAATTTGTACAGGGTTGTCCTTCCGATGATGGCATTGTATTCGTTGTTGATGTCCATGATTTTGAAATTTTCCATGATGACCTTGGAAGTTTGTCCATGTCCGAACCTGATGGGAAGAGTTATTTCTCCTAACGGAAGAGACACGCTCCCGTTGAATCCGTGTATTTTATCGTTGCATGGACGGACGTCGGCTGTATCGAGCCCAAGTTTTCTAAAGGCTTGAAGCATAATGATACTTGAATATGCACCGGTATCTACCATTATACGATGAACGGGAATTCCGCAAATTGGGGCGTTATGATTAATGCATCAGAATGAGGATGATCAAACAAGCTCGCATCTTCTAATGTGAAAGTGATCGGACATGTGCGTGAGTTAATTGTGTCCCTCAGGTCGGTATTCATTATTTGTTTCCCCGAGTTGTACGCCCTTCTGGCGTATGCTTTGGTCTGCCGACGTGAGGACGTTGGCTCTTCTCGGTTAGTATTAATTCGGGGGATAGAACCTAACCGAATTGGGATTTGAGGAGTACGGTTAGAGTTGGGACTCTCGAAGTCCCTGTTTCTTTTTCCAAGTCGGTCGTCAACCGACCTGGATCCTTCTGCCCCGAACATGAATATCTCCTTTTCTCCTTGTTGTAGACGAATTCTTTTGGAATTCATTGCGTCTTCGTCTTCTTCATCTCGGTCAGGAACATGAGCTATTTGCCTCCTTTCTTTACCTTCATGTTTGGTAAATTTTCTCACTTGTGGATTTCCAATCAACTTCAGGAGAGCCGACAATAGACTTAGACATTCATCGGTGTTGTGACCTGGAGATCGATGGTAATCGCAATACCGTGACTTGTCCAATTGACTTTCAGGAGTCTTGACTGGTCGAGCTTCAGGAATGATTCCTTTTCCTTTGATCTCTTGATACACCGTTGCGGCACCGACCGAGTAGATGGATCGGTAACCTGTGGTTAGATCTTCCTTGTATTGTCTCCTGGCAGCTTTTATGTCGGTATCGTTCTGTTCTCCTTTATACGGTTCTTTGAAAGGTAAATTCTTGGACGAGTTGCCGAGGTGCTTCTTTTTCTTGTTTTCAAAAGTCGGCTTCTGTTCTTTTGATAGGGAGAAATCGAAGTTCGGAACCGACATGGACTCCTCGGCAATAACATGTTGTTGAGCGCGAACAAGGAATTCTTGAAAGGTGTTGGGTTTGTTTTGACATAGCGCCCAGCGAAACATGGATCTTGGCTTTAATCCAGAGATTGCCGAGACAAGGAGTGTCTCTGGATGACAAGGTTCCATGTTTTGCACACGTTCATTAAAACGTGCAATATAATCCTTTAAACTTTCATCCTCCTTTTGGACTATGTTCGTGATTGATTCCTTAGGTATCAAGATAATTTGAGCCCCGATGAAATGGGACCTGAAAGCTGATCTGAGTTGACCCCAACATCTGATCGATTCAGTCGGTAGTGAATAGTACCACTTCTGAGCTTTAGGACCTATGGTTAAGGAAAACATACGACATCGTAAAGCATCGTCAGCACCATGCAAGTCCATCCATGACGTATAATGTCCGAGATGGGCATCAGGATCAGCGTTTCTGTCGTAGAGGCCAATTTGGGGGACTTTGACTTTTCCCGGTAACGGACCTCTGGTCAACTCGGTTGCTAGGGGAGAACCGACTTCCATATAGACATGGCCCGATTCTGGCACGTGAGGATGCTGATAAGGCCTGATTTGAGTGATTTGTCGGGCTTCCAACTCTGCCACCTTTCTTCTTAACGCCTCGACCTCGGAAGCATTACGTCGAACGCAACGATTACGCTCAATCTGCGTTCTCAGGTCAGCCGGATTCTCGTTTTGTTGAAATAATGAACGTGCCGCATGGGGAATTCTGGGCACATGCTGAGGATAACTTTCAACATGCCGAGGGTGACTTTCAGCAACCATTTCTGGCTGATTCATTTCTGGTTGGTTCATTTCCGCTGGCAGTACGTTGTTCACCGGCGGAGGGGGTGGATTGCGTGGTTGTGAAGTGGCATGGGACGCCGCTTGATTATTGTTATCCCTTGGTATGGGAGGACCTTGTTGTCTCGCCGGAGTTATAGGAGCAAAAGGTTGTCCTGGTATTCTATGTGATGGCCCCGGCATGGTTTGGGCCACTAAAGCAGTGAGTCCACGAGCAAATTCAGGGTTCTGCATGAGCAGGGTAATGTCCGGCATCACAGGTACTGGATTATGTTGACCGGTTGGCGGTTCAACAACACGAACGGCGCTTCCCATGGTTGTTGGATTGTCTTGTCCGGACTGCGACATTCTCGATTTTATGAGATGTGGTGCGTATATTTCGAAAATTAACTCCAAATATCTTATGGAGCCCTTCTTCTAGCGCCAAAATGTTGATAAACGGATTTAATCAACGTTAACAATGTAAAATTAACACAAAAGATTGCAGAAAATGAGATTTTTATTGAATATTTTGAAGTCGGTTTCAGTACAGGGAGGTCGGTTTTTCAATGTATTTCAAGTCGGTTTACAGTGAGATAGCCGAGTTGAATATATGAGTGTTTATGATCTTTTTTCGAACCCTTCTCTCGTCTTTGGAGCTGCTATATATAGTTAAGTCTGGCACACATCCCTAGACAAATCATTCCCGTTCTAATGAAGATTTGACGTCTTAGGGGTGGCGATGACGTAGAAGAACTTTTTAGGCAATGATTAGCATGGGCGCGCCTCTATCTGTGTGACGAGTGTCACATCTGTCGGAACGAAGTTGGTTCGTCTTGCGATGTCGATATTTTGATAGATCTTCAATATTCTACGACTTATTAATAAATAATTCTTTGACCGAGTTGGCCTTTTTCAAGGTTCAGACGACTTGTGTTGATAACTCCCGAAGATTCTGCGGTATCATTTACGGATACCGAGATGAGATTACCGAGGTACAATATGTCCTATTTGACGTCGTCCAGAATCCAATTTATGAATCAAACTTCACGATTTCTTTAATTTAATCTTAATATTAAGATATTCTATCTTGATATCAACAGTCTGTTTGAATTTTATTTTTAAATAAAATACATAAAATTATGTCAAAGTAGGTAGAAATGGTTGAAAGAAATAAGAATACATTTTAGTCATTAAATTGAGTGATCCAACAAATAAAAAAAATCCAGAATTTATACATTCATTAAAGATAATAATATAATTTCTCCATTCATTGAAACCAACTCAATTCAAACCCACCCACATGTGTGTGGGTCACACTCCACTAACTCTCTCTCCCATTAACTCTAATTAACTCCTCTCGTTAACTCTCTTTCTCTCACACACCTGACACCACACACACACACAATACCCGTGACACACACACACGTACACATCAGCACACACACTGCCACATCAACACACAACACACAAAATACACACGCATACACACGCACAACACACACACAAACATGCGCACACACTGTCACACACACACATACATACATTGATACACACACACAACTACATACATTATCTGTTGAGCCCTCCGTTACCGACTGATGTCCATCGCCGCCATTTTCCGCCGAGCACGCTGCCGCCGTCATCCGCAGAGCCCGCTGCCGCCGTCATCTAAAATTTCTGTCAGCGACTCCGACCATCCAGCGGCACGCTCACGGACGTCGGCCTCCGTGGCTCCGCTCGCTGCCGCTCTCAGACGTCACGTCGCGCCACTGCGTCTCCGCCAGACGACGTATACTCCTCAAGCCTCCGTTAACGGCGCTCGCTCCACCATTTTCGTCGCCTACGATAGAAGAATCGTCCCGGTCGCCGGCGTGAGATCGAGCGGAAATCTGGCAAAATCTTCTTCGGCGACATTCCGTTCGCGGCCAACAGCGGCCTTCCAACCGCCGGAAGCTCTGCCTACGGCGGGGCAGGGCGCGCTGTCGAATTTCAGGCGCCGGAAAATGGCTGTCAATTTGCTTGGATTTAGGGGCTTGTAGTTGAGAATTTGATAACTTTGAAGGACCCAATTGCAATTTAAAGAATTTTAGTTAAATTTCAATTTGGTCCATGAGCCGAATATGTAATTTATCAAAACTATATAAAAATATTATTTTTATTGTTTTATACAAGGACCAAATACATATATATATATATATAGATATATATATATATTATGTATTTTCAAAAATAAATGTAAAATATTAAATAACAAATATTAATAAATAAATAAATATATTTTTATAATATAGATACTAAATTGATTTGATTATTTATATTAGTTCAATTATATCATTCAATTTAAATTTGGATGTGCATATAAGAAAACACGCATCATATAAATGCATAATTGTATTAAACAATATGCACTTTGGTGTCTGTAAGAATGCACAAGATTGTTAGATTAAATGCACGTTAATGCATACGATAATGCACGTTAGTATAAATCGTATAATGTTCAAAAATGCTAAATAAATAGAGTAATTCAATTCGGTTTCAATTTGATTTGGGAAAAAAAAAATATATTTGTATAATATAATTTTTTTTTTTATAACTGCTCAATAATCGTAATTGAGATACACAACTTTTCTACAATTCAAATTGCACATAAAAAATACCAGTTTATGCACAATAATGGTAGACTAAATGCACATTAGTGTATGTTAGAATGCATATTATCAATTTCGTATTTTATACGTCATGTAATTTCAACCATAAATAATAAAATATTAAAATACTTTTTTTATAATACAAATAATAAATTATTTCAATTATTAGGGTAATTTAGGTAACTGATTATTAGTATTAGGTTTTATTTCATTTGAACAAGTCATTAAAATGTCTGCGATATAAGTGCACAAAATTGATAGACGAATGGCACTCTAATGACCATCAGATTGCACAACATCGAACCAAACTATAAAATTACATATTTTAGTTCGAAATTTTATATTTCTATTCGATTGTTATTATTTTTTTACTTTAAAAAAATAATAATAAATATATTTTTATAATATAATTTTTTTTATAAGTGCTCAATAATCATAATTGAGATACACATTAAACTTTTCTACAATTGAAATTGCACATACAAAAGTACCAGTCTATACACAATAATGCTAGACTAAATGCACATTAGTGTATGTTAGAATTGCATTATCAATTTTGTATTTTATACGTCATGTATTTTCAACCATAAATAATAAAATATTAAAATATTTTTTTATAATACAAATAATAAATTATTTCAATTATTAGGGTAATTCGAGTAACAGATTATTAGTATTAGGTTTTATTTCTTTTGAAACAAGTCGTTAAAATGTATGCGATATATGTGCACAAAAGTATTAGACGAATTGCACTCTAATGACCATTAGATTGCACAACATCGAACCAAACTATAAAATTAAATATTTTAGTTCGAAGTTTTTTATTTCTATGCGATTGTTATTTTTTTTTACTTCTAAAAACTCAGTTATCGGAAATTTTTAAAAAACTGAAATAGCCGAACGACCAAATTGTATATTATTTATTTTTACACATTTTTAATAAAAAAATTTATTATTATGTGTTTTTAGTAAAATACTATTTATTTTCAGCTTAAATATATTAAAACATTAAATGATAAGATACTAATTATATTTTATTTAATTACAAATTTCACCCTTGAACTCAATTGTAATTTACCAAAGTTCATAAAATCGCTATTGAATTCTTTTAACTTATCAAATTCTCAAAAAACAAGCCCAACTCTACACACACCCAACAACCTCCCTCCCCACTCCCCCGTCGGCGACCAACCTCCGGCGATGGACCGACAGTCGTTATTCCACGGCCGCACCACCACCCACCGCCGTCCACGAAGATGAAGTCACCACTGTCTTCTGGAATTTTTTCCGATATCCTCAGCTTCCGGCAACGTCGAGCACGTCGGCGCGACGTCACATAACCAGTCTCGCCGGCCAGAGGCGTGACGTCGCATAATGTGCAGTGGAGATATGGACGGCGGACGACACGCCTGTTTATCCACGGCTTTCTCGCATTCAAATCGGTTGTCGGAAAGATGAAACGCGTCGGCAGTCTGTGGTGGATGACTGCGGCTGTATGGTGACAGAGGCGAATGGCCGATAGGCCTGAAGTTCTGGCTGACGGGTGTTGACGGAGCCGGAGATGAACCATGATGTCAGCGGTCGCCGGAGAAGAAGAACCGACTGCCAGCTTCTGTAGGAGGCGGGCGGGCGGCGGCGTGGCGGGGTTGGCGGATGGCGGCGGGGTTAGTTGCTGTAGGAGAAGAGCTCTTAACGGGGGAGTGAGTCTTGTCGGCGAAGCGAGCGGGACTGACGGCAAGCGAGGTCGGTGGCGAGCTAGACCAGCGGCGCCAAGGTGGTGGTGTGACTGGGTGAGCGTGAACGGCGGGCAGAGAGCTAGCTAATGGCAGCTGGGGAGGTGGTTGGGCCAGCGGCTAGCGGTAGTGATGGTGGTGTTGCCGGTGTATATGCGTGTGTGTGTGTGTGTATGTGTATATGCGTCGATGTGTATGATGTGTGTGTGCAGAAGTGTGTGAGAGAGAGTGAGTTGTTGGTGGTGGGTGGTGCAGATGAGAGAAACGTGGTGAGTTGGGTGGGGGGTGGATCAATGTATTGGGTTAATATCGGTGAGAGAAACGTGGCGAGTGGGGTTGGGGGGTCAATGTATTGGGTTAATGGCATGTTTACCCTTAATGAGTGTCAAATGATTGAATTACCCTTAATGAGTTTAACTTTAAATACTAATTTTGTTACTATCATGACCATTGATATGTTAGATCTAATGGTTTACAATAATTCTTATTTCTTTCACTATGACTCATTCTCATTTGAGCGCACTTCTATATATATATATAGAGAGAGAGAAGGGATCATATGAGAAAGAGGGATAAGGAACGAAATGAGAATAAGTTTGGACCATGAGATCAATCATATCAATGGTTATGATGAAATTAAACTATGGTTAATCATTAATGGGAATATGGTAATTATTGACCATATTGTGGTCAGATATGTGTATTTGACCAATAATTAAGGGTAAGGTAGTAAATAAACATATCAAGTGGGACCCACTCATTAAATCAATTCACCACACATTTTTCTCTCTCTTCAACATCTCTTCCCTCTATTTTTCCCGATTTGAAACGCACACAGTACACACATACACACACACACATAAACACACACACACACACACACACACACACACAGTCTGGCAGTTCGACCACCACATCGCCACCACCTTCCGCCAACATCCATCTGTTCTCGTCCACCTTCCGGCCATCAGAGCATCGCCGCGCAGCCGCTGTCGCTTGTACCTGCACAACCACCGCCGTCTCTCATCTCGCCGCCGGCTTTCTACTTGTCGGCGCTTTTCAGCCCGCCGTCGTCCCCTTTCTCAGCTTGTCGTCGCCATTCTCAGCCCACCATCAGCATCCCGCCACTGCCATCGCCACCGTACAAAATCAGTTCGTTGTCGAGCACCTCCGTCACCACCCGCCTCTGGCAACGTCGCGGTCGTCGCTTCCAAACTGACCCCCGCTTCCAGACCTTTCCGTCCGTCGTCCGCTCATGCCGCCTCCATCGACGTCACGGCCGTCGGCCATTTTAATGTCGTGAAACTTTCCGCCATCTTGGCCGCTCGCTGGAAAATCGCCCGTGAACGTCGGCGGCGAATAACAGGCCAACGTTGGCCGGCAAAGACCACTGTGTTTTTAGACGAATATAGCAGTTGTTATATGATGTGTGTTTGTTTGAGTTTTGGGGTTATTTATGTGAAAATTTGATTTAATTTAGGGGCCTAATTGCGATTTATAAAATTTTATTTTATTTCAATTGAGTACAATTGGCAAATTGATAATATAATAAGAGTTTAATACATACACAATAATGCATAAAATGCACTCATTTGACTGGATCTTTTCCTTTCCAAATGCCACTGTCTCAAACATTGTTAGAAGTGCTTCTGACCATTCCTTAATCTTGATGAATATGGGGCAGCCAATTGAAAGAAGGAAAGCCCGGTTTCATTTTGACAGAAGATGGATCACAATGGAAGGTTTTGCAGACATAGTTTAAAAAGCTTGAGCAACTCACAGTTCATGCACTCCATTTTTCAGACTTAAAGAAAAGGTGAATAATACCAGACTTGCACTTCTCCTATGGAGCTCCAAATTCAAATCTGAAAGCCAACAGCAGATTGATATTCTTACATAAAAACTTGAACTCCTGAGATCAGAAATGCCAAACATTGATTGGGACACATGGGAAAACACTAGAGTAGACCTGGAAAAAGCTCACACTCATGAAGAGCTACACTGGCAGCAAAAATCCAGATTGAGATGGCTTAAGGAAGGAGATGGCAACACTAAATTCTTTCATGCATACACAATGCAGAAAAGAAGACTCGATGCAATCACCAGATTACTATCTACTCAGAGCACTTCCTTTACCACTCAAAGAGACATTGAAAATAATATCTTTGACTTTTATGCATATCTTTTCTCCTCTGAAGGGAGTTGGAATGGTGACTCTGTTCTGCACCTCATTCCTCAACTATAACAGCTGAAATGAATCAAGATCTCTCAAAGCCAGTTGATGAAGATGAAGTTAAGAAGTACCCTTTTCCTTAGCACCCTGATAAAACCCTTGGAGAAGATGGCATGAGTGCACTGTTCTACCAGCATTTCTGGAGTCTCATTAAACCTGACAACATGGCTGTAATTCTTAGTTTTTTTCCAGACAGGGGCACTTCTCAAATACTGGAACCATACAATTCTCTCTCTCATCCCTAAGACTCTAAATCCTGAAAATCTTAGGCAGTTCAGGCCCATCAGCTTATGCAGTGTGGTTTACAAAATTCTCTCCAAAGTTCTTGCTCGGAGACTCAAGAACTGCTTAAACTGCTGCATCAGTCCATACCAGTCAGCTTTTATCAATGGCAGACAACTTATGAACAATGTAATCTTGGCTCAAGAGGCCTTCCATGTTCTGAACAGACACACAATAGGTAAAAACTTTTTCATGGCCCTCAAACTTGACCTAATGAAAGCTTTTGATCGTGTGGAACGGCTAAGTTTGAAGAAAATTATGCTACAAATGGGGTTCGGTGGTTTCTTTGTCAATTTGATCATGGTTTGTGTGTCCACTGCTACAATATCTTTTAAGGTGAATGGCAATATCAGTGGTTATATTTCTCTTACCAGAGGAATTAGACAGGGGGATCCCCTATCCCCCTATCTATTTATTATTGTTGTTGAGCTGTTGTCTGCACTAATATTGGATTCTCAAGCCAGAGGACGCTTTAAAGGCTTCAAACTGTAAAAAAAATTACCCTATTCTCTCCCATCCCCTCTTTGCGGATGATTCTTTACTTTTTTGCCAAGCTGGAGCTGATCAAGCAAATCTACTGCTATCACTGTTGGATCAATACAAATTATTCACTGGCCAACAAGTAAACCTCCACAAATCTGGAATTTATTTCAGCAGGAACACACCTTTGTCTCTTCAGACCACTATTTGCACTGTTCTTCATGGAATCACAGCTCACAGATCAACAAGATATTTAGGCCTCCCTCTTGGCATTGGCAGATCAAAAAAAGAGGTATTTGATTATCTCTTACAGTCTCTCAACAGCAAGATGCAGAACTGGAAATCCAAATTTCTGACACCAGCTGGTAAAGAAGTTCTTCTTAAATCAGTGATCCAAGCACTTCCAATATTCACAATGTCCTGCTTCAAGCTTCCCATTACTCTTTGCAATGACATATCAAGAATGTGTGCACAATTCTGGTGGCAATCTAGAAATGATAATAGCAAAAGCATACACTGGAAGAGATGAGATTTAATCTCACTCCCAAAACCAAAAGGAGAACTTGGCTTTCTGGACATAAAACTCTTCAATGAGGCCTTAATTTGCAAGCAGCTATGGAGAGTGGCCACAAACCTTGATCTCCTTGTCAGTAGAGTGCTCAAAGACAGATACTTCCCAAATGGTTCCATTCTTGATGCTGTTAAATGTCAGAAGGGCTCTTGGATGTGGAACAGTTGGACAGAGGTAATGCCTGTTTTTGCTAAATGGTTCAAAACTGAAATCAGGGATGGAGCAACTACCAAAGTGGATGACATCAACTGGGTTCCTCACCTCAACAAACCAAAGCCTGAAATGATTGAACTTGCAAGGGGCCATCAGATTTGGGTAAAGGACCTTTCACTTCCTCATGGCTATGAATGAAATGAAGGATTAGTGAGGAAACTTTTCACTACCTCTGACTGTGATGCTATTCTGAACATTAGGTCCATCCACCCAGATAGAGCTGACAGGAAGTATTGGGGACTTGAAAAAACTGGATGCTTTTCTATCTCTAGTGTTCATTCTTACCTCTCTCAACAGAAGATTCTAAAGCTTGATATACCAGAAACCAGCTCAAACTCTGTAGGGCTTAGAACTAAGATCTATAAATACTAGAAGCTGAAGATTCAAGGAAAAATAAAACACTTCTTATGGAAATGTCTTTCTGGCATCCTACCTGTTGCAACTCTCCTATCCAAAAAAGGAATGGAAGTAGATATCATCTGCTCTATCTGTGGAGAATGCCTTGAGACTATAGAGCACATTCTCTTCTCCTGTTTCAGAGCCACAAGACTGTGGGAAGTGGCTCCAGTGCGTTGGGATGGATTGACTAACCTCACACACTCTTTCAAGCAATGGTGGCATCAAGTATGTTCACTTAAACATAATGAGGTGGCTGTGGCTAGGATCCAACATTCCACTTATCTGTTATGGTGGCTCTGGAAATCCCGGAACCTGTGGATTTTTCAAGGCACTCTCATGCCAATCCACATAGTCATTAAGGTTGCTCTCAATGATTGGAAAAACTTCTCCTTTGCACTTAGTAGCTAATGTATCTTTTTATTCTTGTTAGGTTCTTGTGATTTTTGGTTTGGGTTGAATCTTTGAGTCCTAGCTAAGCTTTGGAGCAGTGGGTAGGCTCGTAGATTATTTGATAATAATAATAATAATAATAATAATAATAATAATAATCGAAACAAAATATAAATTTTCGTACCGAATTTATGTTCATTGGATCTCGTTCGATTTTGTGCAATATGGTAGACGTTTATATGCAATTAGTATAACCATTATGTTCATTCGCAATACATATAAGAATATATAAAAAAAAAGTAGTATAAATTTTTATTAAAATATATAAATAAAAAAGAATTGGTAATGTTTTTCATATAGTTTGCCATGTTTAGTTATTTTATTTATTTAAAAAGACTAAATTCGATATTTAATCAATTAATTAATTCGATCGATTAGCAGAATTACCGTATTTTTTGGTACGCGCAGTGTGTTGTTTTATAAGTTGTAACATGTCGTGTTATGAAGTGCAACGTATTTCCTTATACAGTGCAACATATTGATGTATAAAGTGCAATTATATAGATATGTTTTTTAGATTTATACCGCGTAATATTTTTGGCGGGAGTTGCTGACGTTAATTATGTTGATAAAGTGCAACGTGGCGTCTTATAAAGTATGACGTGTTGTTTTATAAAGTGCAACATCCCGCTATATAACGTGCATTAATTTATATATTATGTGTATTCGAAAACTATTTGATAGATATAATTGTACATAGAATTAACTTAAATCATTAAAATTTCTTTTTATTTACTATTTTTTACTATATAATTTACTCATTACTATAAAATATTTTTATGCTGTTTTAATATTTTACATTATTGTTATTTAATAATTTATTTATTATTTACCATTTTTTAGATTTATACCGCGTAATATTTTTGGCTGGAGTTGTTGACGTTAATTATGTTGATAAAGTGCAACGTGACGTCTTGTAAAGTTCAACGGGTTGTTTTATAAAGTGCAACATTCCGCTATATAAATTGCACTAATTTATACCTTCCCATATAAATAATGTGAATTCAATTACTACTTAATAGCTATAATTGTACATTGAAATAACTTAAATAATTAAAATATATTTTATTTATTATTTTTATTATATAATATATTTATTATTATAAGAAAATTTTATATTATTTTAATATTTTTACATTATCTTTATTTCATAATTTATTTATCATTTAATATATGCACAACAAAATATATAAAAAAATAATTTTTTATTAACATTAAATAATTACAGATTTTGCCTATGGGTTAAATTGAAATATAATTAAAATTGATAAAATTGCAAATAGGTCCCTATACATAATCTAATTCTCAAAAAGATGCCCAAATCACACAATTCAATTTCAGTCTCCGGAATCATCTCCTCCCACACCGGAGATAGCGAGGTTCGAGCTGCAGGACCTCATCTCCTCCACTCGTATTTCTGGCGAGAGGACTGGATCCAAGGTGACGGAGGTCGACGGAGGTTAGAAGGCGGGACGAGGCCATTTTCTCTGGCGGGACAGCTCGTCTTCTCCGGCGGGACGAGGTCGTCTTCCCCTGTGGGACAGCTCGGATGTAACATGTGCTTTGACGCGGTCATCGGAGAAGCCGGAATCTGGTCAGGAAGAGTTGCAACCGGCAGTGATGTGTGGCGGAGTCAGGGTGGAGGTCGGGCGGCGATGTGAGACGGAGCTAGTGGAGTTCCGGTAGCCGGCGTGCTGTTTGTGTTTCTGTGTGTGTATATTTTGTGTCCTGGTGTGTATGTGTGTTGTGAGTGTGTGTGCATGTGTTGTGTGTGTGGATGCATGTGTTTTGTGTTGTGATTATTTTTGTTACGTTTTTTATTGTTATTTTACATTTATTTTCCCTCATTTTTAGGTCTTTTAGAAGGTCTTTCGGTCC